AAAACCACAAAGAGCACTGCCAATAATTAACTATACAGTACTTTATTGAGAAGGTGATGCATTTGGTGTAAACTTGCAATCAAACTTTTTGAGATTGGGGCTATCACAATGCGAAACAAGACAAATGATTGTGATGTATAAGAGCAACACCTTCGTTTTGATTAATAACCACAGGCGTTACGACCTTCCAATGAAATTAAATCCACGTTTGAGATTTTTTTAAAATCCTCGATCGGTGTCCGTTTGTTTGAATGCAGTTTTGTTCATTATTTATATAACACATACGATTGTTCTTATTTACCGTGTTTTGAGCCAGACTGCTGCATTTTACGAAATTCACGAGTGTTATGGAATGCTCAAAACGGTTGTAAAAATTGCATAACACTTTGAAGACGAGAGTGGGGGCTCATGGAAGGATGTTGCACAGAGGCCTCGTGTTGTTCATTGTTTGAAGTAGCACAGAACTGAGGAATTCCGTGCTCGCCCTTTTACATGTCAGTCCAATCGTTTCAACATTTTACTAAAGGTGAGGCACACATATCTGAAGAATCCACAGAGGGAAAGTTCTTGCCAAATGTATTTTTATATGTGTCTGTGCATTCAGTTTTTATATAATTTTATTGTGTTTTATTCTGCACATTATCGTTACGAATCAAATACTTATTGGCACTAACATGACCACCAGCCTTCCACTTCCCCCATAGCTAGGAGTTAATATTTGGTATCAGTTACGGTTACTAACTGTATAAACGTAATTAATTCCTATCTTTGGCATACATCATCAGTGCTAGCATGTGGCTGGCCTTGAGGTTCGAGTTAACTTCATACTATATAGCCTTAAAAGACAAGAACATTTGAAATCTGTATTTTCTACGAAATTCAGTGAAGCCATGAGCTCATGGCTGATGAAAGCCAATATCATCTTGGCAGCGTTAACAACGCTGAAAAGATGATTGATTAACTATGTTTTTACCTGGATTTATTTAAACCATCAAACAACATTTTGCCTGTGAAAGTCAGAAAATAATCAAAAGACTAAAAGAGCCAATGAAGTAATCATACTTTCCCTCCGAGAGAACTCAATATGTTTCCGCTGGGGGGGGCGGGGGAAGCTATGTTTCCAGTGAAGTTTTGAGCAATGTGGGCGTGCGAAATCGTTACAAAAGCGCACTAACACAGGAGCATGAAAGGCCGTTTCCAGCGAGATGACCTTTATGCTGACCCCACGGCCGCGTCCTGATGTCACAGCTAATGTGGGCTGGGTCACGTGGCAGATCGGGCGCACTTGGTGATCTAAAAACGTTATTCCTGCCCGAAAAATCTGTTTCTGAGTCAATTTTGTTGAGCTTGCCGTCTCTTGGCATTTTTTTTCTTCCCCATGTTAAATGTAAACACAGCTCAGTGTGTGTGTGTTGCAACGTGATTAAAATAAATGGAGCACAATTTAATTGTATACAAAATTTATAATTTTAGACGCATGGCATACCAAAGCCCTGTAAATATAATGGGGAGAATGGCATAACTCTTAACAGATGTTTGTTGCATTAGTGCTGTATGATAATTATCAAAATGCATTTGCCACATGATGGACGACCAAGGAATGTACAGGTATTGTCCTTTTAAACATACAATGCATGCATTATACCTGATTAGTTTCATTTGCATAATATTCTTGAGAGATGCTGCATAGTAGCCAGGCAGAAATGAACACACGACCATATTTACTCATAAAACGCTTCAAACTTAGTTTTTTTTAAAGTAACAAGTGGTGGGTTTTAAATGAATGGATATTGATGCTGAGCTTGCTATACACGAGGAGTGTTGTTTGGAATATTTTAAAGGGGAATGCTTTGTTGAAGCTATAAATATACTGGGAAGGATGAATGCAGTCCTTTCACATTCTCAGCCACTAAACTGAGAATCTTTGTCTATACCAATGGTCTCTAACTGCTAGACCGTCCTGTTAATGGTCTAGCCTTGAAATCACTATGCTCTTGTGTTTCCCAAGATTTATGGTGCTTTATAGTGTAGGCTTTCTCATTAAAACAATGTGATCCCGTCTTGAAGAGGGTTTTCAATCAAAGATGTAATTCAACAACTCAACACTGGCCATGTCTAATATTCAAACAAGCTGGATTTACATATTATCAGAGTTGTCTTTTTTGTTTGCATTTTGACTGCTTGTGTTGTGGTCATTGCAAACATGATGCCTTGAATAAAGGTGTCAGTTTTTGTGCCAGTTAAAAGGGTAAAACCTATTCCTATAAGCTGGATTTAGTTTAATTATAATTTAACATTCATCATCATCCACGATCTACCGACTGCTGGATGAAGGCCTCTTCAACTTTTCATCATATTTAAACAGTCGGGCGATGCAACACGCCATCGAGCTGATCTCATTACTTCATCTCCTCAGTGATCATCCCCTCAGAAGTGTTCTCTACTTTGGCTGCTACTGCATCGTTAATCTCGACCATTGCCCATCGTCCCTTCTTACAATGTGGCCTGCTCAAGCCCATCTACTTCACGTCAACGATGTCTGTAATTTGCGTTTGTGCTTTTGACCGGTGTGTTTTGCTTGCTGTCTCTCAGTGTAATTCCAAGTGTGAACCTCTCCATATGTCTTTGAATATTTTTTTTTGGTTTTGTTCCATTTTGTTATTCTTTGGTATCAGTAAAATGTTTTACTTATATTTGTTCACTGATCCACATGTGATCTCTCTGCATCTCAATATAATTCCAAGCATGGTGCGCTCTGCACACATTTCAGCTTTTGTTCGATTTTCTATTCTGATTCGTATGCCACTCATTGAAAACGTTCTTTTGTATTGGTTACATTACTTCTCACCATTATTAAGATCAATATTACAAAAGGATTGCTCTTGCTTGCTTTATTTAATCTCGTTTTATTCATGACATTGGACATTGACGAGCTGACATTGCGAATTGAGAAATTAAATTGACTTAATTAGAACAGACATATTTCAGATTGTCAAAGACGTCTTTGTCCTCAGAAAATTCTGCACAGGAATTGACCAAAGGCTGGTGCGATGTATGTTGCAGTTCATCGTAGCCAAAGAGATGGCAAAGATAATTGCAGACAAAAACAAGATAGTTTAAAATTACTATTTGAAATCATACAATAACGTAAAGTGTCATACAGATCCATGGGTATTAATATAACCGTAGCTGTAGAATATGTAGTGGTCAATAATACCACCATATACAAAGGAAGCCAACAGAAGTGGATTGTGGAGGACCATATGTCCCGCGAGGTGTGCGGGCTTCACAAGACGGACGGTGGCAGACAACCAATGCTGCATTCAAAGTTACGGACTGCCTCAAAAAGGCTGGGCATTCTCACTCACTTTGTGCAGCCACAGCAAGGGCCGGCCCTTTGTGCTGCACGTGCCCTTTGCTGCACTGGGATGTTGACCTTTTCATTGCGCTGTTTTCAGATGTACGTCAAAACTATTATTTTTTATATTCCTGAAACGTTTTACGTTTTTGCCCTTTCACTGTTGCTCACCGACTGAAGTCCGTTTGTTCTAGAAACAAGTTGTGGCTCAAAAATTGCAACGTTCTATATAATTATATATATATTTAAATTGCTTGAATAGATACATTGTGGAAATTACCCTTATGAAAAACCATCGAAATATCAATGACGGCCATATTTTGCAACATTGAAACATTGCTTTTCAATTTAATCATGGCTGTCTGGCTTACACTGTAAGCCACTGTCCAGTAAAATACATGTCAGTGCATCACATAGTATTTCCAGCATGAACCAATTTTTTTTTAATTTAGAGTGTGATTCTCCAATGACTGCAGCATTATTATTATTTGATAGAACCTGCAGCTTCTTAGCATGGAACAACGGTACCTAGGAAAATGATCATGCTACCTCTACAGCAAGGTACCAGGAGTATGCGTTAAGCCTAACAGTAATATTAACATCGACAAACTTAGCTATAGATCAATCAGTGTTACAATTAGCAGTGGTTTCAGCATGCCAGAAATTGCGCTGGACAAGAGAACGATTCACCTTTGTTGATGTCTGATCCTCACAGACCTGGTCCAGCGCTCTGGGGTAATTTGATTCACTGCTACCTCAATAAATAAATGTCCTTGTCAATACAGTACAGTGTTGCTCAATACTGACTACATGCTCGCCTTGTAAATGTAATTGCGTAGCTGATCTGTGGGTGTACTGATGCTTGCATATGGGTACTGTATTGGAAGATGTGAAAAGAGTAATTGTGCTTGTTTAGTTAACGCCAATTCATGCATTTATATTTGTGTGCCAGAATTTGTTTTTTTATTCTTGTGTTTCCTACCCATTGAACATGTATCCCTCTAACTGAGCGATTACAGGATAGTGATATAATAAACATACATTTGGTGGAGGTTTTATTGGCAAAACAATGCTACCAGTAATGTTTCATTGATTCTAATTACACTGTGGTATGATGTGGAAATGACAATTCGTACCAGCTTAAAAATATTGAAATGTTGCGTTGATGGAACCTTGTGCATGGTTAGCGAGCCGGGATATGACTGGTGACCCAGCAAATCCTTCTTGAATGCAAACGGCATTCAAATAACTCAGTACCCGTACCATGAGTGGATGTCATCATTTACTGAGAAATAAATTAAATACAGAATCGCTTCTGCAATGATAGGCCTGCATCATTGTTAACATTACCTGATTGTTAATCAACATCGCTAGTCGTCTGCGACGAAGATTAAGATACTAGACTGTTTCAACAAGCATTTCTGGAATGACGAGGTAATCTTTATGCCTTAATTTACATTAATAAGTACTGTAACCAACATCGTGGCCTTCCAATAGAAAGGTGTTATTTTAAAGGCACACAAAAACGCGTTTGCTCTAACGTATCGCTACGGATTGTCATACCTACTGCGTTAATATTAATGATTCCTACCTGTCCCTCACTTATAAAAACCGTTTTTGTTTTTTTTGTTTTCATACCCAGGTTACTGGTGGGAGCTCCGAGAGCAAAGGCCCTTCCCAATCAGCACGCCAACCGTACCGGCGGGGTCTACCAGTGTCCCTTCACCGCCAACACCGACGACTGCCAGAGGGTGATCTTCGACAATGACGGTAGGGAAATGACGTCCCGTTTTACACAACCGGTTGAAAAACGTCCTCCTACAGGGCACATCGGCGCGTCGCTATCGTTCATCGGATTCAGTTTTTTTCCCACCCGATCTCGCTCCTTCCTTTATTCCATCGTTTTCATCCCAGTCCCAAAATGGAACAAAGGCTTAACGTTGCACAAAGAAGTATGAATCGGTGGATTGGTGCTCACAAACTACACTGAGGTATAGAAGGAGGGGCTCATGCATTGGGGAACAATTGACAATGAGAGACACCGTATTGTTAAGGAACCTTTGTAACATTTGGGCAGAGCACATTACGAGAAGGGACTATAGCCGATGGATGAGGCTCGTAATGGAATGACAGCCTATGGATAGGACTCACCCAAGAGGGTGACAACTGTGATCAGATCAGCTTGTGTGCAGGAGTGAGGTTTGTGGTTGCATTGCAGGACTGTGTGGAATGCTGACACTGTGGGGCAGAGTTTATCCGGTAATGGATTGACTATCGTGATGATGATGACTGCAAAATAATCTAACATTCATGTTAACATGTCTTTGTGATTTTTTTTTATTCCAATGTATGTATGATAAGTAGAACAAAAAAAATGTTGCTTGCACTCATTCTGGATTATCCAATCTCCAAATGTTAACCAGTCTGGCCAGTTTGTATCTTTAAAATCAGTGGCTGGGTGCTGTCAGGTGACCAGCCTGAATAATCCCATGTGACCCAATTACTTGGGTCACTGCACGGCAAAACCAAGCCCAGGAGCACATGTCCTTGCGGCTGCTGGTGTTTGCTGTAGCTCCTTCAGTGTCCTTAGCTTTCTATCTGCTTTGTAGTGCTCTTGGCTGATAATGATTATTTATAAACATCATAAGCCTGTTTATTACAATGTTTTTAAGGTATTTATAAATTCATCATCCTTAAATGCAGTCAAGAAAAGTTATAATGGCACAGAAATACAAAATATGATGTAATTCTCCATTGTATTTATCTAATACATTGTACAGTCTTGGCATAGGCTTTATTTATTAAATGCATTTTTGGATATTGTACAGTTCCCATGTATTACTTGTGCTAGCATTTTCTGTCATACATAAGCTGAGTCTGGTATCTCCGAGTGAATATTACGTCTTCTGTGTTATGGAAACAGGGACGTTACATTATAGTATTATCTCCTTTCCTTTCACGCGAATGCCTTTTAGATGTGTCATGCCAGGAATTCAGAATGTCACAAACTGCCCTTGATCTGTATCATTGTACATGGGGGGAGGGTTGGAGTAGTAGTCAGTGCACTGTGCTATGAAATCAGTGACCTGAGTTTGATTCCTTGTCATGGCTAACCGGTCCTGGGCCCGGCCCTTCACCAACCCTCACTGACCAGCATGGTCAAGTATGGTCGAACAACACCCCATGAATGACGCAGCATGGGGAGGTCATCAACCAACCGTGGGTTGATAAAAGATTGTAATTATCATTGAATTGAAAACAATTGAATTCTGTTTTTTGTTCTAAAAAAAAATCAATGCTTACCTCTAGATATCACGTACCTAAAAAAAATCTACATTGATTTTCATGAGTTTGAATATTTGGTGCTGGGCTATAACTGAGTAAAGACCCAACACAGAAGATCCCTGGCTTAGATATTCCACGAAGCCTATGGGCACAACCCGAAACCGCATCCGTACGAACCACTGAAGGTGTGGATACTTGCGGTGCAAAGGTAACATAACAAAAACTCTCCGGTGTGTGTCTGTGGTCACCCAGAACGGAACCATGGAACATTTAACGACTCAATGCCCGGTTGACAAACATGAAGGAGGCATCACAGCGATACACCCAGCTAATCCTGATGCAATCATCTGGCTCAACCACCTCAATGTATAACATTATACACCTCAATGTTATACATTATAACAATGTATAACAATTTTGATTTAAAGCTTTCGTGACTGCAGTAATTCATATTCTTAGCTCTTTCGGTAAAGTCACGTTTGTGTTATGGTCGAAACGTCGTGAGAATTTTTATTGTTTTATATATATTTTATTATTTTATTGTTTCCCTTCAACGTGACTTTACTGAAAGAGCTAAGAATAAGAAAATGTATAACAATGTTATAAACAAAATATAAAACAATAAAATGATCACGACGTTTCGACTGCAACACAAGCAATCATCATCAGGTGTGAAAACCACAGCAAGAAAATTTGAAAAAAGTGGCTTTTTTTAAACGTTAGTACCACGGAGAGCGATTTGGCAGTTATTCAGATGGACGAGTCCATCTATGTTCAGAAAAGAGGAGGGGGGAGACGAAAATAATGGATGCAGTCTGAAAGCCACCGTAAGCGTGAACAATCAATTAAGACCCGAAATGGTTACACCTCAACATTATTACACCTCATTATGCACCTCAATATATAACATCATAGTTGTTGCTCGACATTAACATCAACCATGCGAAGAATAAGAAGAAGAAGGCTGAGTAAAATGTCCAGCGTTGTTTGTACGCCATTTCAAATGTTTTGGACAAATGCCTCAGTGGTCGGCGTCCACACTCGGACACTGCAGCCCTCCTCATGGGGGATGGGGCCTAGGCAGGGGCAGGAAACAAAGGCCCTCTTGGCCTTGCCATGGGACCCAGCAGGGAATTTTAATCAGCACACTGGGGTCAATGGAGTGTCACTGATAAGGGTTACAAACACTGCTGCTCATCCGCCGATAAGTGTTCACACGTACAATGACCTGCTCTTTTGAATTGAATAAAATACTTTGGAAAAAGGATATTGAAAGGGTCGTGCTCATATTTGACTTCCAATCGTTGTTATTTTTTTTGCTATGTTTAATAAAACATTCACATAGTTTTAACGAGAAAATCTAATTAATTCATTAAAAAAACGCATGACATAAGTTTTTTATATGCATCTTCATTGCCCAAAGCAAGTGATTTTAATGTGCAAGTGCACACGTTATCTTGAAATTATACCATTAATAATAGATTATTATTCCAGCCACGTCAGTCAGCTGCGCTCTGCTGTGGGCAGCAGAGGGCAGTGTAGTAAAATCAACTGTTGTACGGCATTTCTATGACCCTACTTTTACCAATCCACACTTAACAGCCTGGTGAAATATGGTCAAACAGCTCCCACGACGTGCAGAGCATGGAGAGGTCCTCATTCAAGAGTGGTATCACAAACTGGACTGTGCATGTACATACACATTTCAGCACTCGTATGCCAGTTTTAATTGATCACTATCTCATTCTTAGTACGATAGATGTTGTGCATACATACACACGTACTGTCTTTTAAAATAACTGCCCATTTATAATGAAGAAAGGGTATGGACCAGCCTGCAAAGACACTGATTTTAGGAGCTTTGCTCGACCAATTTGCTCCGCTGCTCACCCCGCTTTATTTCTGGATGTTTTGTTGCTTTTTTGGTTCCCAGCTGATCCGACGACTGAAAGCAAACAAGACCAGTGGATGGGTGTCACTGTGAAGAGTCAGGGGCCCGGAGGGAAGGTGCTGGTAAGCACTGTTCTGCCCGAACACATCCTCAGAATGATCATATTAAAGCTGACTCTTACACATTGTTCATTATATGGTGTACATCAGAATACAATTCATGTATGCAGAGAGAAAAAAAAAATTCCCCTGGCAAGTGTATGTAAACGAATTAATATCTGATTATGGAGTGTCAGTGGTATCTCATTGAATGCCTGGATTTTCTCCAGACACTCCCACTTTCAACCCACGAATATACCTTCAACAAAGAATGTACTGTATGCCAAAACATCCCAAGCGTAGAATTGGTGAAACATCCCAAGTTGTGCCCTCTTGACAAATTCTTGTCACTTGATAAATGACGATTCGTTGTTTGTTGTTGTTGTTGCTGCTGCCGTGCGCCGTCTCGTGTTGCGGCCTCTAGGCTTGCGCGCACCGCTATGAAACGCGGCGCTTTGTGGGACTGCCCGAGGAAACACGGGGCATGATCGGTCGCTGCTACGTGCTGAGCCAGGACCTCAGGATGAACGAGCAGGATGAAATGGACGGAGGGAGCTGGCAGTTTTGTGCCGGCAGGCCTGATAGCCACGAACAGTTTGGAGTCTGCCAGCAGGGCCTCGATGCTGGGTTCACGCGTGACTTCCACTACATCTACTTTGGGGCTCCCGGAGCCTACAACTGGAAAGGTATTGGGCCCCGGGACGGAACGGTGAATAAAAAGCACGCATCTAGGCTACTGATGTGCACATTTCAAACTTGTGATTGTAGAGGTTTAAAATCAAGGGAAAACACAGAGCCATCTTGTGAAATTGCATGTATTTTTTGGAAACCCAAGTTTTATGTTCCTGTTTGGGTACAGCAGAGGTGGCCGAGTTGTTATCCTACCTGTGTAATTAGCCAAAGAAAGACTGAGGGTATTTCTACAACTAACCGCCAACTATTTGACGTGGCTTGAGAGAAAATAAGCCTATAATCTTACAATAACCCAACCTTCAGTTACATCAGTAGCGGAATGTATGAGCGTGGAGGTGAAAAGACTCGCAGGAGTGCTATTTCACCCGCGTCGGTGCTAGCTGGCTGTGAGTCCCTGTTCCCATGGTGACATGGACCTAACGGAATGAGACCACTGGAGCTGGGACGTGGGAAGCAAAGTGAGTAAGCACCAGCTGAGCCATACCCCCTCATCAAGTGGAATAATCGAGCGTGTGTGAATCTACAGGGCAGGGTACCTCTGCCTGCTGGGAAGCAGTCTGGTGACGAATTGTTGCTTTGCTGATTGCTTTCAGACGAGATTATTGATTTGGACAAAGAATTGTCTGAAGAAATGCATTGTGTTCATAATTGTTGCTGTAGTGTGTGTGTGTATACAAATTCATGTTACAATCGATAGAAATTGTTGTTTGTAATTGAAGTGTATGGAATTTCTTTTCCGAAACAGATCGCTCTATGCTATTGTTTTGGTGTGTGTTAACTGTGCGTTTTATTTTTTAGGCATTGCTCATGTTGCACAAAGGAACTCGACATTTTATGAACAGGGCATCTTTGACGACGGACCTTATGAGACTGGAGATGAAAGGTGGAAAAATGAGAAACTGGTCCCTGTGGCCTATAACAGCTACTTAGGTAGGATGGTCCTGATACTGGAAAGGACAGAGGTTGCTGGAGAGATGTTCAATTGGTCCAAATTATTCGAAAGGTCCAAAACAAGAACCTGGCCTTGCATGTGAATGTCAATGCCCAATCTCTCCAGCTTCATCTGTCCACGTTTCTGTCCTCTTCCCACTGTTCTTAATCTGCTCTCTCTCTCTGTCTGTCCTTTACGGTGCAGGAATCATGTTTTTGACCAGCATCGATAGTTCAGACGCTGATCAGAATTTGTACAAAACCGAAGAGCCAAAAGACAAGCCACCTGGGAGCTCTCTCAGCCTGGAAGTGTCCAGGAATAGTTATCTAGGTTTGTAACCGCTGGTGCGGTGCTAAGTGTGCAGTGCTTTACCACCTAATGTGCCATGTGCATGAATCCCCACATAGTCGATTGATCAGTGATTGATTTATTTTGATAACCATTGCCCCCCTCCATAATTATATGATTTTATAGGCAAGATTAATAATGGAATGGTCATAGGGCATCTCTGCTCAGGTTTGATATGTTGAAACGTTATTATATGGCAGTGTGTGTTAGATCATGCTCGTTGGACATCTGTGAAAAAAAGCTTCACAGCTCATCGGATTTCTCCAGGATAAATAAAGATTCTAAAAGCCTCAGACTTTTAAATGAGTGCTTAACAAATTAACCTGCAAGAATACAGACCGGGAATTAATTATCAGTGATGGGAGTTTACATTGTTCTAAACTTCCAATAAGACTATAGCGATTGAGATATGAAAATCCATAACCATAACACAATTAATTTTCTGATCAACAATGTCAGTAAAAATTGTGACAATTTTAATTGACAAATAATAAATGTGTGCATTAGTTAAATCTGTTAATTTCAAGCTTCTGGCTGTCACCTTTTATTTCTGCTCGACTTTTCCTCCCTAACCTCCATAACCTTCCCGTGGCCGCATGCACTGAGCCAGCACATTGCCTGATGCGTTGTGACGTGAACCTGCACGCTCCCAACGTACCCGTGAAAGTTTGCAAATGCGGTGCTGTGTGACGTGACCGAAGTCTCGTTCGATGTCTTTAAGTTTTGCTGGTTTTCCGTACGCGTTAAATCACAACTGCATCACGCAACACTCACGTGGATGGTTACCTTGGGCATGGCTGGCAGGTCTGGAGCACCAAAACAGCTTCCCCCTCCACGGCACCTCGCACCTTACTGCCTCTCGGTGACACCAGCGTCGCCCCGATTAACTCACACGCTTTCCCTTGAGAATGTGTGGCATAACTGTGTGCACCACGTGCCTACCTGCGGTGGGCCACGTGATTCATCACAAACAATGACGTATACATTAAACTGACATACTATAGCTGTATGTCACACCGCAGGTGCTTAAGTAATGAATAACAAGATTGAGGTTTACTACTGATATCCCTTCATAACGATGAGGAGTGTCTATCTCATTTTGACGATTCGTTTCTGAAAAGCACACAGCTAACGGATAACAAATATTAATGGTCAGCTGCAGTGAAGAGCAGTTGAAGGACATTCATTACATTAGTTTTGAACGCATACATAATCCGCCTACTTTCAAAGTTACAATCATTTTGAGTGCAATTTTAAGAAGTTGCCTCAAGGTATACATGTAATAATTGTTTACAGAATAATTTTTCTTAAAAATGGTGGGGTTTTTCTGCCATTTCACTATAATCCACAAAACTGCTTCGTGCACTGCTGCTGCTGCAGGTTTTCTTGCAGTGAATCCTCTCCCTGCTTGCAAGTTACGCTTCACATAATTTCTTATAATTGGCAGTCACGGATTTTATCTCCTACATGTTTGGCTTCTGCATTTGTTTTAAATCTTTTAGCTTGCACTACAAGCACGGAATATGTGTGCCAATACGATTAATTTGAAAGCCACTCAGCCTGTTACATAATGGCCTTCTCATTATCCATTGGCAAAATAGGCCCTAAAAGGAGCGCTTTATTTATTTATTAATGCAAGACGAATAAACATGATAATGGATCCTACTATACATGTAGCGTATAAGCATTTTCATCGTATAGTGCTCATGTTACATTCATAAAAGCAGGGTCCTGCAAAGGACATCGCAGCCTCTTTGCTCAATGCAGGAAATTCACACATAGGTGGTGAAAAGCTACCGAGTGCAAAGTTTAGGGTGACTGTTTCTAGTGCCTATGGTGGCTGTGTTTTACGAGAGAAGTGCTTAAGCCATCATGTTGATCTCTCAATGCCATTAGAACCCATGTCTAGTGGCTGTGCAGCAAGGATATTTGGCCCGAGGGTTGGGTTGGGTTGGAGTTCTCTGCATCTCACCAGCATCCACCGTTTCCCAGTTGTCGTATTGTTTTTTTTTTATCAACTTCATCTTGCGTCCAACCGACTCAAGGTAAATTCCATCCTATACGAGTGTTAAACGCCACGGCAGGTAATACGCACTGGTGAAAAACGGTCTTACGTAGGCCTATCAGTATGTTGTTTTTATTATCAAGTTTAGTTTTACAAACGCACTCCAACCTGCTCTTGCGCTGGTCTCTTATTTCATCATCATGATCCCAGTGACAGACAATAATTGTCCCGGATATATCGCACCTCTCCATGCTCTTATGTTCTGAAAACAGAACATCAGAGCATGGAGAGGTGCATGCTTGGAATTGCACTGAAATACACAGAAACACGCATTATGTTGACTCTTAATAAAAGTGGATTTGGGTAGAACACATTTCTCAAAGGGACGCTAACCGATGGATGAGATGTATGAAAGAGGGCAGCCAAAGGAGAGAATATGCCTGAGGTGATGTCCACCGTGGAGAAGGAGGGATCAGATTGGCTCACGTGTAGGAGCTAGATGGATTGTTGCCATGATATATATGCAGCAGTGGATAGATCATGGATTATATAAAAAATTGAAATCATATAGATGTAATTGCTGATTCAAACAGTGATTCGTGAAAGCAGTGTGCTCAGGCATCTTTCTTCCTCGTTTCATGTTATATTCCTGTCCTGACAAACGCCATTCGTTGACGACGTTGGAAAGAGGATCTGTGAATTTTGAGAAAATCTCAGCACCAGCTCTCTCATTTCCCACATCGCAGGGTTCTCCATGGACTCCGGCAAAAGTGTCATGGCCAGAAACAGGCTGAGCTTCGTGGCAGGAGCACCACGGGCAAACCACACGGGAGCCGTGGTCGTGCTGAAGAAAGACTCGCTGAGCAGCCTCACGCCGGAGCAGACCATCTACGGCGAGGAGCTCGCCTCCTCCTTCGGCTATGATGTGACGCTGGCCGACCTCAACAACGACGGGTAACCGACCGCATGTACCGTGACGCTTCGGGCAAAGAAAGAAAAAACAAAACCTCATCACGCCAAGACACATCCCAGGGCAACTTCACGACACGAGTTACGGTTGTCCAGAGAGGGACGATGTTCTTGGGAGAAACGATGCTCAAACAAAGGTTTTGAAGCGTGCAACGTTGCCGTGGTCATGCCTGCCCTCGAATTCTTCTGAATCACTAACTTTTGTTAATGGGAACAATCTGGACACAATTCAGCGAATGCAAAAAAGCAAGCCGTCGTGTTTTCCATGCAGCGCGAGTTGGTGAGATGTGCGTGTGTGTGTGATTGTGGGGAGTGGTAGTGTAGCGGTTAGCACGATGTGCTACAAACCCAGCGACTCAAGTTAGATTCCCGCTCACGGCTAACACTAGTGACGATTATAATCTGAACCGGTCATGTGGAAACATCGCCACTGGGGAGACAAAGGCGGCTAGGTGTGGTGTTGGCCACCCACCTCCTCGTGTGCCATGTCGGCACTAATAGGTGTTTGCTAACAGCACTTGCCCCAGCAGTCTGTCCAGGCTATACGGGGAATCTTTGTTTTTTTTTTAAGCGCGAGGGTCATGTCGTTGAAGGTGGCTGGACCTGGTCGTGGGAGCTCCTCAATACTTCGACCGGAGGGAGGACATTGGAGGGGCAGTGTATGTTTACATGAACCAACGGGGCGGCTTCGATGAGCACAACTTTATCCGCCTCAATGGCACCAAGGACTCCATGTTTGGCCTTGCCGTGGCCAACATTGGGGACATAAACCAAGATGGCTTCGAGGGTAAGTAACGTGAAAAATAATAACACACCCCTGTCTCTCTTCTCTGTTTAATTATAATTTGTAACGTATTGCCATATGCAAGAATGTCATTCATAATGCAATATATCTTGATTTGAAGCTTTCATGACTGCAGGAATTCATACTCTTTGGTCTTTTCGGTAAAGTCACGTAGGTAATAAAAATAATAGATCGCGACGTTTCGATCGCAAGCAATTTGTCATCAGGCGGAAGAAAGAGGTCCTTTTTTTCGTTTTTTTTATTTTGCCTGATGATGATCGCTTGTGTTGCAATCGAAAGGTCGTGATCTATTATTTTTTCTACCTACGTGACTTTACTGAAAGAACCAAAGAGAATGCAATATATGTAAATGATTTATCAATATTTCAGAAGCTTTGTAGACCGCTCAAGTCAAGTAAATTTTAAATGTCGTTAGACTGTGACACCTTTCTGGAATAGAACTCCCTCCAAGGCACAATTACTTCGAATGCAAAATAATACGAAATAATTTTAAAGGTATAAAATCCACTTGAAAAAAATATAATTTAAAAACAGTAACAAAGATCTTAAATCAAATTCTCACCGCCATCACCACCACCATTACCATCCTCCCCACAACCGGCGATGGTTGTGGTGAGAAGTAAAAAAATATATTTAAAAAATCTAATTTTATTCAACTTGGTGAATGAAAGCCTGAGGAATTCTGCAGTGACACGACCGTGACCGGCTGTTCTTTAGACATCGCTGTGGGCGCTCCCTATGATGGATCTGGGAAGGTGTTCATCTACCACGGAGGCAGGATGGGCATCAACCCGAAAGCTTCTCAGGTGATCGTCAGAACGGTGACCCAGGTCACTCTTGCAAAGAAGACTCCTATCCTGGTCCCCTTGAGTTCCCTCACCCGGTGGAACAGAACACACTTTAAATCTTGACCACAGCCCAGCTGTGATCCGCTAAAAACACGATCGGCCACATTGGTTACGGTGCACATGATTTACCAATTGCAATATTAACGGCTTTGTCAGCTTTCACGGCCGCAGTGACAGGTGGAATATCCATTGGGTGGGCATGAGCAGAATGATTAAAATGAAATACAGTAAAACCTTGGGTTGCGAGCATAATTCGTTCCGGAAACGTGTTTGTAATCCAAAGCACTCGTATATCAGAGCACTCGTATATCAGTTGTGATCACGTGACGCTCGACAGACAAAGCGTATACGTACACTACTCGTGCCGCAAGACCCTCGCTCGTTTATCAAACGAATATTTATTTTTAAAAAAATTCTCGTCTTGCAAAACACTCGCAGACCAAGTTGCTCGCAATCCAAGGTTTTACTGTACCTGCAAGCAAGAGAAATCAATCTACCGTATTTTAAATATATTACATATTTTTCCTGCGTGTTTTCAGGCTCAGGTGATTGTAAATCAGTACGTGCCGTAAAATAAAAGATAAATTGACACCGTCGTGCGTGTTGGGTGCTTGTCGTTAGGTCCATGGACACGGTTCGTAGCTCTGTGCACCAATTCACGTGCGTCTGTCTGCTCCTCTTTCCATGCCAGGCAATAAGTGGGGACGACTTCAACTACAAGGTGGAGAAGTTTGGTTACTCCATCACCGGAGGGATGGATGTGGATGGGAACACATACCCAGATCTCCTCATAGGGTCACTGTCAGACAAAATTGCTCTGCTCAGGTAACGTGTGTAGTGGTGTGAAGGAATGTTTTTTAAATTGGCTGTGTCGTGGAAAGAAATTTGTTTAATGTTGTCTAAATTGTCTTCCTTATCTGTGTTTTCGTATAAAGGGCTCGTCCTGTCATTACTCCCAACATCCTGGTGACGTCTGACAAAGACATCGACATCAACGTGAAGAACTGTGAAAATGACAAGAGAATTTGGTAAAGTTATTAACGGAAGCGTGAGCAAAGAATCTGTCAGCCATTACTTATTTACTTATTCAGTTGTAATGTGTTAACATTTTCAAGTAAATGAGTCATTACTAAAATATTGCACTCGAATACTTATGTATTTATATTTTCAAACATTTGTTTCGTTTAAACACTTTACATTGTTGTTTTGTTTCTCCCGCAGCATAAAGGTGAAGGCTTGTTTCTCATATAAAGCAAAACCTGCGAATTACAACCCAATCATTAGTGAGTATACAAAGTCTGCACCCATGATAACGCAATTATGAGCACAGTACTGGTAATCGCACACTGAAGACCATCGTGTTTTGTATGTGGAACCACAACGTTGACATGGGAATGTAACGGTTCTCGTGTACAAAGAGCTTCGGTTGACGCCATGGCTCCCCGCCCGCAGACTTGACGTACACGTTCGAGGCGGAGATGGACCGCAGGAAGCAGGGGCTGGGCTCGCGCGTCTCCTTCCTAAACCGGGGCTCGAACTCCCCTGAGGAGTACGTGCTGAGCGGCTCTCTGGTGCTGATGGGACAGGGGCGGGAGAAGTGCACAGAGAAAACCATGCAGCTGCAGGTGAGGACGCCCGCTGCCCCGTTCTTCTCCGGGCGTGCTGTGCACTCCCCCCGCCCATCGCACCACCGAGCGTCACGGAGGCACGCTGTCATGTAAAGCCGTAGCGGTCTGCTGGCCATTGGTGGCAATGTGTGGCCTAAGGTCTAGTTGCATTTACATCCGAGTGCCAGGAATGTGCAACTCCTAGGTGCTGATATTGTTATTTCGACCAAATCCCTTTGGACATATGGGACAATGGAACAGGGATTCCTGTGATTCGCGATGCTGCAGTGGTCCCTGGTGCTGCAAATCACGTCTCGTGCCTAGCTGCAGCTATAGTTGAATTTGCAAACGATGCAAGGGTGGCAGTAGTAATCGGCTGAGTACTAACAGCAAACAAAACATGAACGGTGATCCCTGTGCTGACATTTTTCGCCTCTTGATGCCACTGTGAAAAAGCCTTATATAGGACAATACCCTAACTGCTGATTCATTGCGATGTTTCTGCCACTGGCGTACACAGGAGAACATAAAGGACAAGCTGAGACCAATCCCCCTGCAGCTGACATATGAGATCAACCAGGTTGTGAAGACGAAGAGGCAGGCCAGCCTATCCCTGCAGCCTGTGCTGGATGCCCAGGTTCCCAGCCGCATGAAGACCGAGGTGAGAGGGGCCCAGAGGCCCAGAGGCCTGGCACTGCTCCAATCTTAAACATGGCCTGCCACTGGCCACAGGAGAATGCTCCGGCAGCTTCATAGGACAGCCAATTAAAATCTGCTTTTAACCTGTCTTTCATAATGTTTACATGAACAAAATATTTTGGGTTTAGAGTCAAATGTGTTGATATTTTGTTTCTTAAGCTGGAAAACTATCTATGGAGAGGACGTAACGAGAGGTTATATAGTTCCAGTGTTGGATTTATAGAAGTTGATTCCTTCAAGTGAAAACACACGCACCGATGGCAGTTAGTTAAAGCTTCCTCAGAGAGAACACAATTGCAGAAGTGATGTTGCAGAAGTTCTAATAAATAAAATTGACTGGTAAATTTATGCAAACCGACACACCTGATGACGACCATTTGTGTTATGGTCGAAACGTCGTGAGAATTTTTATTGTTATATATATTTTATTATTTTATTGTTTCCCTTCAACGTGACTTTACCGAAAGAACTAAGAATATGGTTATTCTTGTATTGTATTTTCTGCTCACGCTCCAGATAAACTTTGTCAAGGAGGGATGCGGTCCAGACAACATTTGCCAGAGCAACTTAATTCTCAAGTACAATTACTGCTCCAGAGAGGAAAACGAGAAGTATAAAGCCCTCAAAAGGTGACCGTTTTGAACTTTGTGTCCATGTCTCACCGCACAATGCATACGTGGGGAGATTTCTCACGAGTGAAGAAGGGACGTGGTGACCAAGATGCACAAATCTCAGTGAGCGAATGCAAACGCATTTCTCCTCGCCGCTTCTTACCATCTCGTGCAGCTACAGGAAAGATACATTTGTGCTGGTCTTGGGGGTTAGTTCCATGCGCAGCCTTTCAATGTATGTGGTAATATCACCACTGCATTTATACTGCAAAAGCATCAATGAAAAATAAACTAAACTTTACTCATTGTTCAAGCACATACTAAAAAAATGTGGCATTATGGTAAAACCGTCAGAATTTCCTGATTGAGTGCATTTTAGTCCTCAAGTCTGAGATCAACATCAAAATAAATCAGAGAAAATGTTACCAACTGACAGGCAGTGATCGATTGCTTTTACATCGTAAATAAAGGCCGCATACTTTGTACACATTTGTGTGTGTTTTTGAAACTTACAGTTTTCCGGGCCGATACAATTTTTCTATTATGATGATTTCGCACCGTACGTAGCCAAACGTGCTAATCGTAGGCGCGGGGGAAGGACAACAATGATGGGGTTTTAATTAATTATGCAGACTTTATTCATTATGAGGTTAAATAATATCCCTATAATTCTGAAGTCGCACTAAGCTAGAGCGTGAAGCCCTTGCCCGCCGCAGATGCCGTCATCCGCCGCTCAGACCAGTGTTGGTGCTGCTCGCACGCGCCTATGCAGCATGTCAGGCCAGCAGGTGTTCTCCCTGAGTGACCAGAAGGACCTGGCCCTGGAGGTTTCCATCAGCAACACGGGCGACGACGCTCACGAGGCGCACTTAATCGTGAACCTGCCTGACGCCGTCAGCTACGGAGGCTTCCGCAAAAAGACTGTGCCAGAGGTGGGTCCTGTGGCTTTTGTGGTCATCGCAAACAAATCATCGTAAGCCTGTGCTTTGCTTCGTCTCACTTCGCTGGCTGCTGCTATTGCGCCCCGGAAACAACTACTGCCTCCCGTGTCTGGCTGCTTTGCTGGTTTGTCCGTTAATTTATGAAAGGCCGAAAATGTAAATATAAGAACTTTATTTTGCAAACTGTATATGCCTTTTGTCGATCCATCGCTGGATGAGGACCTCCCCACCTCGTGCAAGTCATAGGGGGTTATTTGACCATAATTCGCCGCGTGAAACGGTGTGTGTTGTCGAAAGTTGGGAACATAGATGCTGAAGCATAGAGTACAGCAATGGATTTCGCTGCTCTGCCTCTGCTGAACAGGTAGCGACTTGAAATAAAAGCACACTACTGTATTTCTCTCAATGTAATACTGCCCTTTTGATAGAGAGAATGCATCGCGGGTAGACTTTAGCTTCTGAATAAATAAAAAAAAGGCTGCTGCTGCTTGATTCCTTGCAAAAGGTTTCTATTTGGTGTTTGAACATCTTAACATTTGCTGTTTTATTGCCAGAAAGGGTCAAACCTGTTCTTATTTGTTTCATCGCTGCTGCTTTGATCCCGCGTAGCAGCCCGCACACGCCCACACCTGCCAGTGTTGAGCATTGAGTGTGTGGGAGGGGAAACGGTGGTGATGGGGGCCGGCGTGTGCCGTCGTTGTGCAGGAGGTTCAGCTGGTGTGCGTCGCCAACGCCAACGGGTCGCTGGCCGACTGCGAGCTGGGAAACCCGCTGAAGCGCGGCCAAGCGGTAACCGCTCGTCTTGACCCCCCCGCGCGACCCTACGTCACCTCGACTAAGACGACGCGTGACGTAACGCTGCGGCCGCGATTTTAAAACATTCTGGTCACGGACGGTCGCGTTTAATATCGTGCTCATCGGAGTAAATAACTTGGCAGTTTTAAAAACGGGACAGCCGCATTTGCATCTGGCTGGATATTTGCAATGAAACTCCCGAGTTCCTTTTACCAGATCGAGTTGAATTAAAATTAGAATAAGAATGCTGAATAATTATGTTGTTTTCCTTCAGGTGTCATTTTACCTGATCCTCAGTACCTCTGGAATAACTCTGGACACATCGGAAATCAGCACGGCTCTGCTACTCACCACGTACGCCCTCCTCTCACCGCATTTAAAAACGACTGTTGGTTTTGGATCGAACGCGTGCAGTCATTCACCGCGGCTGTGAATTTTAAAACCAAAGCGACCGCATACCCTGCCAGCGGCCTTTTGTTCCCGGGCGCTGTTATTTAAATGATACGCGAGCGTGGCACTGGGTGTCATATTTAGCAGGAGTCTGGCGCGTTAAAACACGAGTTCCGCTGAGTGGTGCTCGGTGCCGATGGCAGTGACTGCGACATTGGTGTTCCCCCCCAGGACGAGCGAGCAGCCAGATCTGAACGCGTTGTCGGCCAAGCTGAAGGTGGTCATCGAGCTGGCGCTTACGGTCACTGGGTTCGTGAGCGCCGCTCGCACTGCGACGTCATCGCCCGCGCCGCGATCACGGCTGCCGAGAAAACCTCGCGCTATGTTCGACCGCAGCACACCGGCCAAAGCAGGCTCACTCACGCGCACGCGCCCTTTATTTTCTCAGCTTCACCAAGCCGTCCCAGGCGAAATTTGGAGGAGAGATCAGGGGAGAGTCGGTGATGAAGACAGAGGAAGACGTGGGAAGCCTTATAGAATACGACTTCAAAGTGAGTGCCGTGGGATGTCTCTCTTGCAAGCCACAGCGTCCCCCGCGGTGCTGATGGGAGCAGCACCGCAGAGGCACGGACGTGGCGCAGTTACAAATGAAGCCATGCAGTAGCTCGGAGTGTTGCCAGCACTGAGCCTTGTTTCACCACCGCATCACTTGCTGACAACCCCTGGCAGAATTTTTATTATTTTACTTACGTTGATTATTTTTTATTTATTATATATATACTTTAGGTAAAACAAATGCTTCTTGTAGCTTAAATAAGCCACCGCAGTGAGAGCGTATTGATACGTTGGCTTTACATCCAAAACCTTATGCCTTGCAATATGTAAAAAAAAAACACTTGTCATTTAAAAAAGAAAAAATTGTTGATTTTTTTTGTTCAGTTTTATTGGCCGTAAACTACAACAGCTAAAAACGTACCACGTACGGCCCTGTTTTTGTTTTCATGCCGAAGGTTTTAAACTTGGGCAAGTCTCTGGGATCTCTGGGCAGCGCCTTCATCAGCATCTCGTGGCCGGCTGAGATCCCCAATGGCAAGTGGTTGCTCTACCTCGTGAGCGTGGAGATGGTGGGCACGCGGGAGACGCACTGCAATCCCTCGGGCAATCGCATCAACGAGCTGGGCCTCCAGGTAGGCCGGCCGGCTGCCATGTCGTTGTCAACGACGCGATGATGAGGTATCGATTTTCACGATACGTTTATCGCGATATTGTGCTCCTGTAACTTTGCAATTGTATTTCTGATTTATTTTTTATATTGTTGGGCGCCGCGGTGGCGAGATGTTAATGTTTGATCCAGACCCTGACGCCTGTATATTTTGAGTTTGCGTGTTCTCCCTGTGGTCGTGTGGATTTTTCTTCGGGTTCTCAGGTTTTTCCCTCCGCATTCAGAGACATACGTTTTAGAGGCTGCTATACATTTCCACGTGATAAGCCACTTCGTTGAGCGATCATTTGTGGGTCAGGTCGCTTCTGCAAAAGAGCTATATAGCTTCAGGGGCCTTACCTGGTAAAATAAAAATAGTTTAGTTTAGTGCTTTGCTCTGCTTGTAGTTTGGATTAATATTAATTAAAATCTGTTGAATTGTAGTTCACTCAATATAAGACTCCCATACATGTTATGGACATTTTATTTAGGCTAGAAGAATACATAATTATTGCAACTTCATATTTTATAAAGCTTACAACGCACTTTTGTCGGTGACCCCAAAATTAAATAAATAACCAACCAAATCAATAACTAAATAGTGACACCGATTATGTGAGATATGACTGACATTTCCATCAATGGCTTCCGAAAAAGTCTTGCAAATCACTAATCGGATTGTTTTTGATCATTAAGACAATAAAAAAAAGGCTCGGCTTAACAACGACATGTCAACATTTGTACAAAACGGACGATAACATTATTGTGCAGCTTATGCCACGCGATGTCTCGTCAAATTGCCATATCGAGGCAGCCTCATCTCAGGCAGGCGTGGGCAGTGCCACGCGGTCGCCTCCTTCTGCCGTCCGCTCGCGGCTTGCGCCACCACTCACCGCGTTTCCCTCCTCAGAGCGTGTGGCATAAGACGAAGCGACAAGTGCCAGGGCCGCCGCCCCCCGCTCAGAAAGTGGCTCCAGAGATAAGTCCGTCCAACGACAAGCGGCGATCGCTCAAGCTGGTAACCGCCTGTGCACGTCTCCCCATCTGTGCAGATCGCCGCGTTGACGCGTATCGCTATCTCATTTTGTGCGCAACACCAATATGTGCGAAGTTTACTGCGTTGAGTTCCAATGTTTACAATTCCTATTGCAACATAGACCGCTGCTAGCTATGCGGGCTGCAGGTATTTGAATGGCTGTTTGCGAGGTGTGTGTGTCCTTGTCTCCGGCAGGACTGTCGGGACGGCACGGCACGGTGCTACACCCTGCAGTGTCCGCTCACAGCCATGGACAGCGTCGCTGAGATCAAGCTGCGGGCGCGTCTGTGGAACAGTACCTTCCTGGAGGTGCCGGGCACGCGGCTCGCACGCTGCATACACACGGCGATTCGCGCAAACTAGACATGACCAACTAGACACTCACAAACTAGACACTCACAAACTAGACACTCACAAACTAGACACTCACAAACTAGACACTCACAAACTAGATACTCACAAACTAGACACTCACAAACTAGGCACTCACAAACTAGATACTCACAAACTAGACACTCACAAACTAGACACTCACAAACTAGACACTCACAAACTAGACACTCACAAACTAGACACTCACAAACTAGATACTCACAAACTAGACACTCACAAACTAGGCACTCACAAACTAGATACTCACAAACTAGACACTCACAAACTAGACACTCACAAACTAGACACTCACAAACTAGACACTCACAAACTAGACACTCACAAACTAGATACTCACAAACTAGACACTCACAAACTAGGCACTCACAAACTAGATACTCACAAACTAGACACTCACAAACTAGACACTCACAAACTAGACACTCACAAACTAGACACTCACAAACTAGACACTCACAAACTAGACACTCACAAACTAGACACTCACAAACTAGGCACTCACAAACTAGGCACTCACAAACTAGACACTCACAAACTAGACACTCACAAACTAGACACTCACAAACTAGACACTCACAAACTAGGCACTCGCAAACTACACACTCACAAACTAGACATGACCAACTAGATACTCACAAACTAGACACTCACAAACTAGACACTCACAAACTAGACACTCACAATCTAGACATGACCAACTAGATACTCACAAACTAGACACTCACAAACTAGACACTCACAAACTAGACACTCGCAAACTAGACACTCGCAAACTAGACACTCACAAACTAGACACTCACAAACTAGACACTCACAAACTAGACACTCACAAACTAGACATGACCAAACTAGACATGACCAACTAGACATGCAAACTAGACACTCACAAACTAGACACAAACTAGACACTCACAAACTAGACACTCACAAACTAGACACTCACAAACTAGACACTCACAAACTAGACACTCACAAACTAGACACTCACAAACTAGACACTCACAAACTAGACACTCACAAACTAGACATGACCAAACTAGAAATGACCAAACTAGACATGCACCGTGATTTCGCACAATTCAAGCTGTGTCCGCACACTCACTGTGTTGGAAGTACAAGCAGTACAGATAAGTGAGATACACAGGTCATATGGAGAGGTGTGCTGATTAGATATCTTTGAAAGCAATACTGTATATTATTAATGTAAAGAGGCATGCAGCACTTTCTGAGAACTCTCGTGAAGCTGTTTCTACTTTACCAAGAACCCATTGAGATATTAAGCCTCTTGCACAGGTGACCTGGTGCTGTATATTTGCGGCTTTAATCAAATTGAAAAATAAATCACTCTGACTTGATCGGTATGAATGACCCAGCTGACTTAATAAATATGTTGTTGTTGTTTCTGTTCGCAGGAGTACTCCCACCTGGACCAGCTGGAGATCATAACGAGAGCTACAGTTGGAATCTCGTCTCAAAGTCCCAACATTGTGATGAAAGACGCCAGGCCTGATGGCTATCCAGTAAGTGAACATATATGTAGTCTATTTATGTCTGCACAAATTACAAACACTGCAACGGTATTCAGTCTACGTAATATATTACACATTTATCTTACACCTTTCTTCGTTAATCCATATAATCCATAATTGGTCGTGAAAGGCTATGTGTTAAACTTTCTTTGTTAAGTTCTTCAACAATTTCCCCAGTAATTTATTTCCATTGTTTGCTATCAAGATTCTCATCAGAAATATTCAGATGGTTAACAACTTAACCGTTTATGTTTGTGGATTTATTATTACAATGCAATTTCGCAAAACATTTTCCAACATCGCTGTGGATAACTTTAGCGGGGAGCATCTCATCTTACCAGACTCCCCCGCTGAACTGTATTTAGACCTCTGTTTGCGATGACCGCTTTCTATACTACACTGTTTTTTTGTCGATGGGAGCGATGTGATTTCAGTGCGATTCTGGAAAGGCACGTTCAACATGTGTATTGTTGCCCGGCATGAGTTGCACGTGGGACAGCGATTCTCCGTGGTTTTGTTGTGGTTTTTGCCGTGGAAAGATGTCCTGCCAAATGAGGCAGGGAATCTTGGTGGTTATAGCCAGGGTCGCCCATGGGGGGGGGAGGGGGTGCAGAGCCCAGGAAAAACTCACACGGTGTGGGCCCCCTGACGCCTTCAAACTTAACCGGCAGTATTACATCTGACACCGTGAAGGCAAAGCGTGGGGTCCCCCCAAAGCGCGGGCCCCCCCCCAAAGCGCGGGGCCTGGGGTGATCACCCCGACTTGCCATACCCTAGGAACGGCTTTGGTTATATCACGATGTAAGCACGATTTGGGGGGGGGGGGGGAGGTGGGGGGGTTGAATCGAACAGGCGTGGTTATGTTCCTGATAAATCGTGGGTATGATGACGCCCTCTAGTGACGAGTGTGTCGGGATTGCACAGCAGCGTGGATGGCACTGGGTCACTGCGATTTTGACGATCTCATTGACAAACCACCCACTGCGTTCCGAGTGAAAATCGCAGCCAGGAAAAAAAAAACCGAGACTCGGTGGGCACGCGTTGCATGCACTTAATCCGTTGGTACAGCCAAACTTCTGCCTCGAAACCACATTTTAAAACCCATCAAACTAACCTTCAAATCGTATGCAAGTGCATACGATTGTTTGTCCGCCTGAACCGCACGCAACTGAGGTTTGCAACGCGACGCAATTCACAGCGAACGTGTGCGAAGGGAGCGAGTGCAGCCTCGCCGCCCTCGTTCGAGACGCAGGCGAAGCCTCGCGCAGCCGCTTCACGTTTTTGGGCAACTCCCCCCCCCCCCCCCCTCCTTTCCCGGTGCAGGTGCGGCTCACGGTGTTCCCCGAGAAGACGGCGCCGCTCTACCACAGCATCCCGTGGTGGATCATCCTTCTGGCCGTGCTGGCAGGCGTGCTGGTGCTCGCACTTCTCGTCTTCCTCCTGTGGAAGGTGACGAGCGCCAGCGCCACGGTCACCAGCTGCATACCGACGTTCTTAATCCATTGGCGCTGTTGCTTGCGCGACTTGGCGGGAGGGGCGGTGGAGGAGTGGGGGGGGGGGGGGGGGGGTGGAGCGAGCGGGTGGCCAGCGCGCGCTGTGAACTCGCGAGATGTGCGCGGTCCTGCTCATGTGCCACCCATCCCGTTGCCCTGTCCCTTTGCAGTGTGGATTCTTCGCGCGCAAGACCACGGAGGCGCGATACGAAGCTAAATATCACAAAGCTAAGATAGAGGTCCAGCCTTCGGAGAAGGACAAATTGGCTACTGAGGCGTAGTGCTAACCAACCCCTTCTGTCCCTTCTTTGGTAAAGGTATACAAGCATACAGGTTCTCGGCTTTTGTGCTGGTGATGGTGACTGTGGCTTGGAGGCAGTGAATGAATCCGAGAGGCACTGCTTTGCTCCTAAACCTCGGGCACTAAAGGCGTCTAACTGGCTTGTCTTGTCCCTCAGACAACCTCACTGCTCCTTATGCCAAAATCACTCTTTTCGGTACTTGGATGTACGCGGTGTGCCGTGCGTTTCCTCTTCCCGCTGACGATGGCCTTTTTCACAGACGCTTGCCGTGACGGGTGCCACTAAACCTGTCCCGTGAATGTGCACGCTCACTTTCCTCACTGGCAAAACGGTGGTTGTTAAGGTGTCACCATAAAATCGCGGTGCAAAGTAGACTAACAACGAGTGTACTTCAACCGAATGCTTGGCAGCTGAAACAACCAAACTTATTTGAATGTAATTTCCCAAAGGTCACGTGAACTCACGCCTTCAGGAATGCTTATTGGCCTGATTAACAACTGCCACTCTGGCAAGGAGAACCACACAGCCTTACCTCTGTTAAACAACGCATGCCACTGTGACCGACCGTCACGGACTGCTCGCTGGACGGTTTTCGATGTTCACGCTCATTTCTCCTCCTCCCTCGCCCGCCTGCCCGCCCGCCCGCCCGCCCGCCCGCCCGCCCGCCGGCCCGCCGCATGAAGTGTGGATTTTTCAAGCGCTCGCGTTATTACGACACGGTGCCGCAGTACCACGCCGTGCGCATCCGCAAGGACGAGCGGCAGCCACGCGAGGCGGCGGCGGCGGCGGCGCCTCATCGACAGCACAAGAGGAGGGAGTGGGTGACGACCTGGAACGAGCGGGACACGTACTACTGAGCACCCGGGGGCCCCCCACGGTCCCGCCAGCAACCACCTCGTGCCCCACCCCCCACCCCTCCATCTCCCCATTATATAATTACATGAGGGGGCAACACTCATGCGGCGTCCCTTCTCAATCGGAGCCCCCTTCGACCCCATCTGTCTAAACCCCGGTTATCAGTCTATAACTACTGTCAAGAGCGATTTCGCAGCGATGGCTTCAAGATAATTCAGAGCTGCACCTCGTCGTGTTTCCTTGCTGACCTGATGCTTCACTGTTGCTGCAAGAATCGCTGGGATGGAAACTGCTCTACCCCACACTGGTTAGCCTATTTCTTTGGGCACTTTTTCCTGTTAAATTCAGCATAAAAGCTGCAGAGGCAGTTACATCTGACACACGTGTTAAGAAATTCCCAAAATCTGGTGGACATTCTGGGATTTTTTTTATTACGTTGGGACATTTTTTGCTGGGCTGTCACCAGTATTTTGCTTAAATGAACACTACAAGTGGTCATTTTGACGAATGTCATTAAAGCTTCTTCTTTGACAAGCTTATAGTAATAGGTTAGTTCTATCCAGAATTACACCATTAACTGCGTTGCTTTTTTCTCTTATATATACAAAATAGAATATAACTGCCAAAGGCTATTTTTTGGGCCTAAATCTTATCACAATGTTTCGTGACAAAAATTGTGTATATTTGTGTTAAAAGAAATCCAATGGTTGCAGTTACAGGCTACTGTGGTATAATTAGAGGCTTGGGTTGTACGATCGATACGAGGGGACACGTAATTGGCTTTGTTACTCATGAGCGATGAAGTACTTGGACGTGTGCAATAGCAGACATGCCACTAAAGTTACCGTGCCTTTACTTGCGAGACTTTACGTGCCGTGGTACTGTTCCTTTCGCTTTAGTCATACAATGTAGAGCCTAAACTTTTGTAAATATGCTACCTTAGGAACTAAGAACGTGTACGGTACTTCTGGGCAGGCAAAAATCACAGTGCGATCAACTAAATTGCATTTTTGATGTACAATAATGCGGCATTGCATTACGTAAAGTGCAATCTGATGTCGTACAATTGTTAAAGTGTAATAATTATACGACGTCGATGACAGCGGCAATGTAAACGATTCTTCATTTCGGCTTCACTACTGATACCGACCTACCACGCACACACACACACACTCTAGACGAGCTATTGTCCGCATCTTCGCGGACTGTGCTATTGCAGCAGTGCCGAGCCGTTGCCATTGAAGTGGATTCATTCAGTGGATGGTGGACACGTCGGGCTGTTGTCTGAAAAAATAAACCACGTGATCGTTAAGGAATGGTGAACCGTGCTGTTGAGGTACAGTGCAGCCGACACGGCAAACTCTGCCGGAATGTAAAGAACGAACCCTTATCTTTGTGCGCCATGAAGCAGCGCCCCAACAATAACAGGGGGCCTCGGCCGGGACTGTCAGGCAAACGTGAAAAAAGCAGAAACATTATAATAATAATAGGGTTTTCCCCCTTTTTTCTGGCAACAAAACTGAAACCTTTTTTACAAGGATTCATGTCTGCATTAACCACAATACCTGCAGTCAAAATGCAAACAAAAAGCATACTATGATAATATATGCATTGTCCTTGAAACTGATTGGTCCACACCAAGGGACGGCTTTCTTTTGAGCCTCGACCCAATTGGTGCTCGACCACATGACGCCAGAAGGCGTACAGCTCAAAGACAATGCACCATCAAAGTAATGAGGGCTCGGGGTGAGCATCTTACATCATTAAACCTCCTTTGCCAGTACCAAAATGTAATAATAGGGTTTTTCCCCTTTTTTTCTGGCAACAAAACTGAAACCTTTTTACAAGGATTCATATCTGCATTAACCACAATACCTGCAATTACTTTGATAGTTCATTGTCTTTGAGCTGTACGCCTTTTGGCGTCATGTGGTCGAGCACCAATTGGGTCGAGGCTCAAAAGAAAGCCGTCCCTTGGTGTGGACCAATCAGTTTCAAGGACAATGCATATATTATCATAGTATGTTTGTTTTGTTTGCATTTTGACTGCAGGTATTGTGGTTAATGCAGACATGAATCCTTGCAAAAAGGTTTCAGTTTTGTTGCCAGAAAAAAGGGGAAAAACCCTATTATTACATTTTGGCACTGGCAAAGGAGGTCTAATGAAGCTGTAATATTCTCAGCAATGTTTAACGCCGTTCATTGTTCACGAAGCACACCCACCATGTGGCTTCTCAGCCCGGTTGACACCAACCCGAGCAAACAAAAAGCAACGTGCCTGAACTGAAGGAAATCCAACATTGGTGCTGCAGACAGCACTCGGTGTATAGAATGCAACTTCATGAATGTAAAGTTTGAACTTAATGTTGTAACTTACTGGATTTCTTTTTTTACTCTTAACTGATGTGAAACTGTCAGCAGTTCACTGTTATACCTATAATGTATAATTATAGCGATGGGATTTCACGAGCTCAGCACGAGGGATTTCAATTTGCAAAAACATTTTATTCAAAGTGTAAACTTTATGGTATGCACTGGTTAAGCTGTTTGCTGTTTAAATGTACAGAATAAATAAAGTATTTGTATGATTAGTATGCAGAGTGGTCACGTCTTTATTACTAAACCAATCTTGTTCCTTATCTTGAACCATGGACATTCTCCTTCACCACCACTTCTGCCAACATCCCAATCATGACGGCAAACTACTACAGAAATACATTGTGATTAAAATGTATTATCGCAATTATTGTGGTCAACTGCATTCAGTGTTGTAGCAAATTGCTATCCGATGTATTATTTTATGAATGGCTGCTATGGTTGTATTATTGTTGCGGTGAACTGTATTGCAATGATACTGTTGTGGTTACTTTGCAGTCGTGGTGATTGTTCTGCGGATGATGGTTATGTTATTGCTTTAGGAGTATGTTATAGGCATTACCTTTTTCTCGTTCTCTTCCCAGAAAATACTGCAGGGCCTCGTACCGCCATCGGTACACACATTCACCATTTCCGTATTCCAGCTATTGCCGAGACACTTGTAAATGTTTGGTCACAAACGGACCCAGACTATTGCAATTCTTTTCCTCCATAGCCTCCCCAAATCCCTCGTCTGCATCCATAAACAAGATCACATCACTCTAACATTGCTCTGCTGACTCCAATACAATCCCAGATCCATTTAAGATCATACTTGCCTCTTGAAGAGGAGTTGCTATACACCTGTCGAAATGTCTTGCCCCAAGTGAATTGCAAATATGAGAAAGGATATGATTTTATAGGAAAACGGGCAGAATTCCACCAAAAAGTGGCAGAATATGGTCAAGATATATCTAGCGTCTCAAAAGCACAGCACCCCCCAATAGTGCAACTTCAGAAGATTCTGACTTAACTTTCGTGACTGCATGAATTCATATTCTTGGTTCTTTCGGTAAAGTCACGTAAATAGAAAACAAAAAAATAATTAAATTTAATAAAAATAATAAATTGAAAATCAGGCCTGATGAAGACCGCTTGTGTTGCAGTCGAAACGTGGGTTTTATGCTTTTATTATTTTCAATATATTTTTTATTTATTTTCTATTTACGTGACTTTACCGAAAGAACCAAGAATATTCAGAAGATTCACCACGTAATGCGTATACCGCCCTCTGCTGAGCAGACATGCTCAGGACCAGTTTCCTGTAACTTTTAACGAAACACAGCACTGCATTTGTTTTAAGTCAAATCCTCGACCTTAGGTGGAATTAAAGACAAATATTCATAAAAAAGAAACATTCAGCTGATTTAGCCAGTTTATTATTTTACTCAACTCGTGGAAAATATTACACATTTTAAGATGAACTATTCTTATCTTCCACAATCAATGACAAGATACACAAAAAATGTCAAACACCAGCAAAGATCCTAAATAAGGTCACAAAAGCAATTTCACCTGTCCAAATAACTTTTAAAAATGGAATGTAACCTGTCTGCATTGTAACAAATTAAAAACAAATATTCCAGTAGTAATCCCACAATTATAAAAATCCAATGTCAAATGTATTTCTAAACCTACTCAAAAGTAAAACTGCTTTAGATGAAAACTCGTATTTGCTAGCAAGTCATTGCAGCAGCCGGGCTAATGGTGTGTGCCAACGTCACAGAGTATTTAAATTCAGAAGTTAATCATTGCTCGAATAAATGGACAGTAAAGAGCGCAATAATACGGGTTAATGAAAAAAAATGCTTCCACAATATACACCCTTTGTTAAGAACAAAAACCACAAAATAAAATCCCCAAAAAAGCCGACGTAAAATAATTACAGCCCTCATCAGATCAAGCTACACCAGTGCACTTGCATGATATTTCTATTTCATAAGGTAAAATCCCAACAATTTTAAATCTATCCCAGCATAACAGCAGCATCGTGAAGGCGAGTGAAAAAACAACAACGCTATACCGTGTCGATTGTTTAAAAAGGATACATTAAATGCGTTGATTAAAATGACGCTTGGAGCATAAAACCAACCTTACATAATTAAAGAGTTTCCAGTGTTTTGACGGCAACGGTAGTGCTCTGTAATAAACAGTGGTTCACATTCAACGCTTGGCAAACGTACAACATTTGGCGGGTGGTCCAAGCTGATCATCGCTCAGACGTGCAACAGCGAGCGAGTTGCTTTACTAATTTACTTGTTCTGCTCGCGGGGGGCACCTCTCCCCTCTTCACCCTGCGTGATGACGACGCGCGGAGTGCGAGGAGGTATCACACCCACAGTTAAAATGACAACGGTATTTCTCTGTAAAAAGTACACGCCAGTAGTAATTACGAAATCACACCTAATTTGTTTTAAAAGTGCATTCCTTCATTGTTTACATTGGTCCCACAGTTAAAATATGAAAAAAAGTTCATTATAAGCAAGCGATCATTAAAGTAGAGCCTCTATTTACAGGAAGGAGTGACCTGGTTTTTTTTTGGAATCCACATTAATACAAAATATAATTCGAGTAAAACCCCTCCCCCAAATCACTCTCATATAAAAAAATATTTCATCAATGCGAATGAATAACAGCTAAGATATCAGGTACCCTGCCAGTCTCCCTGTTAGCTTAGGGGCCACGAGGTCCGTGTTATGTTTCACAATTCAGCTGTCGAGCAGACACTACATTCGTTTGGCGGAACTAGCTGCACACCTTTTGTAAGGCCGAACAACAAGACCCACTCTATGCTCGAAGACGGGCGTTTCAGCAACTCGGGTATGAAGGCACTCCCTGGACAAGGCTACTCCCGGGCACCTGGAGACACGAGGTTAACTACATGTGGCTGTGCCCAATGGCCTCAAAGCATGGCCGTGCGGTGCCTTGCACGTGACACGCGCACGCATTTCTTGGTTTTGTTCATGCATCCGACTGGCCACTCGGGATGCCGTCAACCTTCTTCCGTGACTTTTCCTTCAGCTTTGCTTGCTTTTCTTGAGCTTTGCGCTCCTTCTCAATGGCCATCTTGAGATCCTTCAGTTTCTTCTTGATAATGGTTCGGTCGCTTACATCGGTAACGCCCAGAGCCTAGGGATTCGTTCACAACCCACATTGCCGTGCAAATTAACACACAAGAAGTCAGAATCGTGTTTTGATCATGAAGTTATTTTCTTTACGGAACTCATTAAATCCATGCACAACGTATGGAGCATCCTGTCACATTCCCATAATATCGAATGACAATATTTCGCACAGGTCAAATGCGGGTTGTTTTGTCCTATTT